GTATGTTATTGACTAGTGAGCCTGTTTCTGTTTTTTTGTGATGTTTACATAGGGGAAAAAATAGAATAGTTGTTACTTAAAAGTGTAATGATACTGAACTGCCAGTTGTTTTTTTTATAGCCTTGTTTATGGTGGGTTTAAAGGCCAGGCCTGGGTGGTAATAGAGTTTCTGCAGAGGTGCAACAATTCTCAATGGGGGAAAAAAAGGGGGGGGGGGGAGCATACTCCCATCAGAGCTCATGTTTACCTAATAATGATCTCTTCTTCACTGATGGACATCCCGGTTTATTGCACTTCCAAAGCTGTGAAGCAGAACCTCAGGTTTAGACGTCCGTCTCTGACAGGAGAGACCTGATTGTTTTTCTGTTGTTGTTTTTTTTTTTCCCAACAGGCTTACAAAAAAAATTGTTTGTGGGTGGTTGGCGGGTGCTCTGGTGTGGTTTGCTTCTTTTTCTTTCCTATCAAACATCTATCGTCCTTATCTCCCCTCCTTCTTTTTTGTGTTTGTTACTCTCTTGTAACACCTCTAATCTTTTGGCACTCATATGACCTTATGCGGTCGCGAGCGCTGTAAAACCTCTACTAAAACTAAAAACATAATCTATTCTTCAGCACTTGTATGACCTTATTGTGTTGCAAGTGCCGTAAAAGTCTTACTAAATCTAAAACTTTAAAAATTGGTTGTTTCAATCTGTGTTTTTACTGACAAAAATTGTTTGGTTATTTCAATTTATGATTTTCCTGACAAAAATTGTTTGGTTGTTTCAATTTATGTTTTTCCTGACAAAAATTGTTTGGTTGTTTCAATTTATGTTTTTTCCTTGTGTCCACAGAGCTGTGAATGAAGCCTACCAGTCGCGCTACTCCCAGGAGAATGTGGCGGTCATGCCAGGCCTGGGGGGAGGGGGGCCCGGTCAGTCGTCCGGGGGACCCCCGCCCGGTCACCACTCGTCGGTGGACCCCATGGGGCCGTCCCCCATCAAGAGGCCGCGGCCCGGGGAGAGAACGGACCTGTCTCAGCCGCTGCACGTGGATGTGGAAGTGAAACGGGTGAGTGAAGGCACGCCTTTTTTTGGCCTAAGTTCTATCGCAGGGATGCCACTTTTCCCTCTTTTTTTCCCGGTATATCCGGTATTTTGATCCTGATCCGCTATTCCGTTATTGAGATCGAGATAGAATCTGTGGTTGGAGAATGAACAACAACAAAAAATCCCACACGCACAACTTGCGACAAATGTTCGAATAACGGAAAAACGAAGACTCCTTCGTCATTTCTCTCATTGTACACCCTTTGGGTTTCAAATTGATATTCATGTGTTAGCGAGACCGTGGTGCGTGGATTTTCAGCTATTTTCAAAAAAATTGAGTGGCATCCCTGCTATTGGTTTCATTGCCAACTAAAATGAGAATTGCTTATCTTAAGTTCAATAGGTTTCATTGCCAACTAAAACAAGGATCTCGCGCTGATCCTAAGTTCTATCAGCTTCTTTGCAAACTAAAAGTTATGCGGTTGAACTGGTTTTCTTTTTACTGGGAAATGTTTTTATCTTGTATGAATGAAGTATTACACGTGGGTGGTTGGCGGGTGTTCTGGTGTGGTTTGCTTCTTCTTTCCTATAAAACATTTTATCTTCCTTATCTCCCCTTCTTCTTTTTTATGTTTGTTACTGTCTTATAACACCTCTAATCTTCTGGCACCAATATGACCGTATGCAGTTGCGAGCGCTGAAAACCTCTACTAAAACTAAAACAAGGATTGCTTCTTTAAGTTCTATCGGCTTCATGGAAAACTTGAACAAAAGACGGTAACTTAAGCATTCTTGTAATCTGTCCATAGAAAGCTTGATGTTTGTAAAATATGTATGTGGCGCTTACTCTCTCTGGACACATAATCTATTCTTCGGCACTTATATGACCTTATTGTGTTGCAAGTGCCATAAAACTCTTTCTAAAACTGAAAACTCAAAATTTTTCAAAACCTCTTATATTTTACCATTTTTTTCTTTATGTACCCCCTTTTTTGGGGGGTGTTCATTTTGATGTGGAATTTTTTCTGTCCCCAGGAGCCGGCGTACACGCCTCAGGTGGAGGCTATCTCTCCCATCCTGCCAGCCGAGGACCCGGCCAACAAGCTCCTCAAGGATGAGCTACTGGCCAGCATCGACAAGGTGGACCGGGAGATCGTCAACGTGGAGCAACAGATCTCCAAGCTCAAGAAGAAGCAGGTGGGTCGGTCTGTCGGTCGGTTTAGTTGCAGTGGGTCTGTCGGTCGGTTTACTGCAGCGTCTGTCATGTGGCGGTTAGGGGCAGGGTCTGTCTACTGTGTCTGTGGTGGGTCTGTCTACTTCAGCATCTGTGGTATTTCGATCTACCGCTGCAGATGTGGTGTGGCGGTTAGGTACAGGGTCTGTGTTGGGTCTGTCTACTGCAGCGGGTGTGTTTGGGGCAGTTAGATGCAATGTCTGTGGTGTGTCGGTTTACTGCAGTGTCTGTGGTGTGTGTGGCGGTTAGGCGCAGTGTGTGACTGATGTGTCTGTCTACCGCAGTGTCTTTGGTGTAACGGTTAGATGCAGCGGGTGTGTGTGGCGGTTAGGCGCTGTGTCTGTGATGGGTCTGTCTACTATGTTTGTCTACGGCAGTGTGTGTGGTGTGTCTGTCTACTTTTCACACCATAGAAAAGCATATGACGTAATAATGATAGAGCTACCACATAGGGAGTTCCACAGGATCCCCAACACGTTCCTCCTTCGCCCATCCCAGCCCCCCCCACCCCGCAAAAAAGTAGTAATCGGACAAAGTAAATACCAAAACCGACCGATGGCACTTTGTATTTAGACAACTTTTGCCAGGCAACTTATCTTTCACTAGTAGAATGCAAGCTCAATTTGGGCGTTAAGACTGGAAAAAAAAAGCAATTGATAGCTGATATAGCAAAGTCGATTTGGATTTAAATATGTGCAGTTTATAGCAAAACACCATTGACACTTCGTGCTGCCCGGGGTCATTCTTGTCTGCGATCAACAAAAATGCCTTGAACACTGGACGCAGTTTGTTTTGTTTACCACGCGTTTCTCCGCGATCAGCTGGTGACCCAGATATGCACATCTGGGCAAAGTGTCAGCTCTCTAGTGTTACTGTAAACTCTGGAATGACTGTACGTTTTCGTTTGTCGACAGGCCCAGCTGTTGGAGAACCAGGCCAAGCCCCAGGAGGAGAAGGTGGATGACGCCGTGTCGGAGCCCAAGCACCAGAGCATTGCCCAGATCATCTACGCCGAGAACAGGGTGGGTTGATGTGGTTTGGAGCTGCAAAGTTCTCACGAAATTGTATTTGTCTTCTACACCAAGAACAGGGTCGATTCGTAACCTCATTTCTTTCTTGTCGTATCTCCATTTTTTTTTTTAAACAGTGAAAACAGTTCATAACAGAGAGTGAGCTTAAGAAGAAGTCACCTTTTCGATGTAAAAAAAAAATAAATGGAAATACGACAAGCAAGCTCTGAGGTCACGGGTTGTTGTAGTTTGGAGCTACAAAGTTCACACGATATTGTGCTTAATTTTCAGTAGTTTTACAGAGATCCGTACGGGCGGTGCCACTGACTGAAGTGTCTTTAGGCCATTCCCAAAGGAGGGACTTAAACATGTTCTTATTCTCAGTAGAATTGTAAAGGGGCTGATTCATCAAAGTCATGCTCATAACTGTGCCTGAACTACAACAGGGAACTGCTGCTTTTTTTCTTTCCTAATCCTTACTATCGTCATTTTCCCTCTACTTCTTTTGTATGTTTGTCACTCTCTTGTGAACTGCTTTTAATATATCTAGGGTTTTTTTTCTTTCTTTCACTGCAGAAAAAGGCTGAGATCTCTCACAAAGTGTTTGAGAAGCTGGGACCAAAGATTGAGCTGGTAAGTCCCTGCTGTTACCTCTGTCTGCTTCAGACACACCGCTGTATATCTAGTCTAGGATGGTGGGTGGTTGGCGGGTGCTCTGGTGTGCTTTGCTCCTTCTTTCCTATCGAACATCTATCATCTCCATCTCCCCTCCTTCTTTTTTTGTG